TGAGAATTTCAATAATTTTCAAAATAAATGGAACTTGGTAATACGAATTTAGTAAATGATTGGTGGAGGAACTAACATAAGTAATTTGTGTTCCTTGTATGAACTTAGATACCTTTTTTTTATATTCGTGTAGAAACTTACACATATCATTTGTAGGAATATTATGTTATGTTACATTTTACCTGCTGCTTTCGTGTATTAACTTACTATTTCTCGTATGAATAAGACATAAATACATTCAACCTATCCGCTACCTACCTAAATATTAGACATATAATATACTTATATTAGGGGCTTGGCACCCTATTCACTACTACCATTGACTTTGTCAACCCCCTCGGGTATTATACGTTGAGTTGAAAATATTCAAAATATAGTTCGATACATATATATAGTTATTTATTATGTCGAAACAAGTCCTAAGAATCAATCCAAAAAAAAGTATTTGTTTTTAATTGGTTCAAAGGGCGAGACTCTTTTCGACCAAAATCGTACCTTTAATAATTATTAATTTTGTATTTATATTAGTTTTTGAACACATAAAAATTAAACAAATTGTACAATTGATACATTATTTTATAATTTAATTCTAAAACATAAAATGTCCTACGTCTAAATTTTGTAGAAATATTTTTATTTCTATTATAAATTGTTTAAATAATTGAAATTGTTTTAGAAATTGCAATTACTTAATAAAAAAAATAACTCCATTAATACAGTTTTTGACGTTTTCCAGTATTACTTTTATTCATATATGATATATTATATAAAAATAACAATGGCCAATTCAATATCATATATTAATACAATCATGTGTGGTTATACCTCTATTTGTAACTATTTTTTTAGAAATGCTTTTAGTTTCTGCTGTTGAATCATAAAAAAATATATAACAGCATCACGATATTATTTTCAAATATGTCATAATATCTTTCATTTCTTTAAGTTTAATAAGTAAAGTACATTAAACTGATTGCATTTTGGATAAACAACTTTGTTTGTGATGACATATCATTAGAGTGATTGGGTACCATTTATATGATGCGTAGAAATTATAATTTACTCTCCTAGCTACATTATACATTTTTTATACATTATGGTTTTCCGTAAGTAGTGAATTTACTTAAAATATTATTAACGCCGAAGTTGTAAACCTTGAATTCATCAGTATAGAGAAAAAAATACTAGGTATAATGAATATAACTATATGTACAATTTTGTTTATTTAATCATAATTTATCTTACACAATATCCTAGTTTTTGTTTTTCAAAACATATTTGATAACAAATCTTATTTGACTTTCTACCTATTTAGTTTGTAAGTATATAGTTGGCCGGTATAGGCTATTATAATTTATACATGCAGAAACATATGAAATGTGTTCTGTCCAAATTATACTTGGACGTTATGCTGATAACGATTGTATCTCGTAATTACGATTATAATTTTTATTTTTATTAAATGTTTAATTAACCACAGTAAAAAATAATTTCTACATAATTCAAGGTTGGGTTTATACCTCTACAAATATAATTTTTTGTAATTAATGTGGCATAAAGTATGAATTTAGATAAATCGTGTTTTATCAAATCCTTGGAAACAATTACTACCTACTCTTCGATTTTACTGTTTATATTATTTTTGGCTTTGAGACTTACGCATAATATATACAGTGCTATAGAGCATAACACATAGAGTAAGTGCTACTTGAAATATCCATACAAAATAGTTATACCTATGCAAACTTTAATTTTTGTACGTGTAAAATATTGTCTATACAATACACATGCAACATACAATTTTGCGTGGTATTTTATTTGTGTCCATTCACTATAATCGCATAATTCGTAGTACGTACGCATGTGTAAATGTTCAACCCCAATTTATAAATTGCGTATAATATAATATAGTAATTTGACGTCCAATACTCACGAGTACGTTTTACTTAAGAAAAGGGCCGTAACTCATCAAATTGCTTTAACTCTTTTATAATAAATAATAGTCAGAAAAAGTATCTAAAAATAAAAAAGTTGAAAGAATCTCAAAGGTTATTAAACATTTTTTTTGAAATTAAAATTTTTTGAAATCTGTTTCAAAAGAATATAATATACTTTTGAATATTTGTATTATCTTTCCTAAAAATTTTTAAGAAATATGATACGGCACTATTATTCGTGAAGGGTGTATATATTATTAAATATATTATATTATTATACATAGGTATATAGGTATATATAATAATTTTCAAAATTAAATAAATAAAAGTATCACCGTAATCTTAAAATTGTATTTATATATATATATATATACTTGCTTTATTTACTTATTTGTATACCTATCCAGAATCCAAGGAATTCATTAAATAATTACAAAACCTAAATAATGTTTAATTGTTACATTAATGACACAACCATTCCCATCCGCTCATTGTCAGCAGATGAGTATAGATAATATAATATTATACTAATAATTATATCTTATCGGATACTACCGTTTAAATGTTAAATGTTTCTTTTTTTCATCGCTATCAACTACAAAAAGCATAAATATAAATTTTATATTTTTATATTTATTTAATTACTTATATAATTCAATTATTAGATTCAATGTTGCTTTAAAAATATGTGGACTTATGTATGTGCCGTTCGAGTTCTGGGAGGGAAATTGCCTTAGTTCCCATACAGTATCTATCCCTGTACGCGTATATAATAATGTGTATCGTGTATATATATATTATATATGCATGAGACTCATTAGTCTTATAACACGTTTTTTGTTAGTTTGGCACGTTGCCTTATTTACATTTAATATTTGAAAGTATTTAAAATAATTTATTCATAATTCAGGAATGAACAAAAAATATTTGATTAATTACTACCTATTAATATGTGATATTATGATACGATTAAATTATTAAAATTTAAATTGTTCAAAGACAAGTTTTTTATTTTCTTAATTTTTTTTTCTCAGTTACCTAAATATATACATTGGAAACGTTTACATTTTAGATAATTCATTGTGAATTATTGCCGTGTAAAGATGAAAATAATTCTAGTTGCAAGTTTTATGGGAATGACATAAATTTTACATTTCTATATGAACTCATATTATAGCTTTGAATGAAATCCAATTATGGAAGTGCTATTTCACATATCCCACGAAATACTATACTTAATCTTTTCATCCCTTGGGTCGTAGAGCAGTGATAGATTTAGGGTTTAGGTTTCCAGAACCTCAGGTGGTGGGTAACCTAATTTGCGGTTAAAATTGGATTGAATTCTGAATTATACGCGAATTGCTGTAAGGCCACGTACTGCAGTTTTATTATATGAGAACGTTTTCGATAGGTCTAAGCAAATAATTTAGGCACGAAGGATTTGGTAAATGTTTAATTCGAAAAACACATCCAACACAGAGACAGTTAAAAAAAACAAACAAACCAAAAACTGCTGACCAAAAGTAAAATAGACCTGGCTAACTGACCATACCTAACCTAACCTATTATAATGTTATTATAACAAATAAACGATCGTCTAATAATAGCGTGCGGTGTTGTTGTTTGTCAATGATTGTCTACCGGCGGTGGACGTAAATAAAAAAAATCAGTAACAATAACAATAATTTTATTATTATAATGATATAATTATTTTATTAATGTAAACGCTATGCGTAGGCCTCCACCGATACGCCGCCACACCTTCAGCGACGACAGATCCGCACGTGCGCTACCGGCACCTGCAGCCGAGGCGGCGGTGGAATCGTCGGGCGCCACCGGGAGCGTGCGCGCGCCCCTCGACCGGCCCTGCCCCGTCTCCGACTAGCATCGGAGCGCGTAGCCGGCCGGTTGTAGCTGCTGTAACGCGGCGGCGGGCCCACACCCACCCGGCCCGGAGCGGCGTGCGCGCGCGAGCGAGCGAGAACGTCGTCAACCGGGAGCGGCAGTGTGTGTACGCGCGCGGTGGTGTGCGCCAGGTTGCTGCGTGTGTGCGTGCGCGTGGCGCGAGAGTTTTGTGCGCGTCCGCTACGGTGCTCGCCGGCTGCTGCCGCTCTGCCGCTCGCTCGCCGCTACCGCTCGCTATATAGTCGTCGTCGCCGCCGCCGCCCGATCGTCTACGCGCGTGTGCGTGCGGTGCGTGTGCGTGCGAGCGTGTCCGTCGTGCCGGCAGAGCGAAAGAGACGCGAGAGCGAGAGAAGGAGCGAACGAGTGAGACAGAGCGTGTGCTCGAGTGAGACAGAGTGAACGCGCGCGCGCGCCGCCGCCGTCGCCGTCTCAGTGTGTGTGTGTGTGCGTGCGTCGCCGGAGTGACTCTATTCGCCGGCCGGCCGCCCTCAGTTACGCGCGCGTATAGATAATAATAGTAATAATTATAATTTTTTTTTTTTTTCGAATACCTATAATAAATTATATTCTATTATCAATCTGTTGTAATTCAATTTTTGTCTGCTCATATACCTCTTCCCCTTCCGATCGCAACGACAACCGCTGTCCCGCCGTCACTGCCATCACGGGATGCGATAACATTATAGAGTCGATATAACGATATTATTTCCGCCGCCGCCGTCCCGTTTCGCTGTCCGATCGGTCAACCACCCGACCGCTGTCGTATGCGACTGGGCATCACCTCGTCACTGCCGCCATCATAGTCGACGTCTCCATCCTCCGCCGTCACGTGCGTCTCGGTCCGTTCCACGTGCGACGACGACGGTCTACTGCTATAGGACAGTGATCGCCTAGTGGTGGTGTCGTTGATAACGGCGGTGGCGGCGGCGGCGGCGGAGGTGGTGGCCACAGCGGTTGACTTTTACTCTTGTTCCTATACCGGACGGCGGCCGTCTTCTGCTGCTGCAGCAGCTGCCGGCCGGTGGTGTTGACGTTGTCGTCTCCATCGTTGTTGTTGTTGTTGTTATTGTTGTTGTTGTGCCACCTCCACCGCCGTCGTAGCTTTCGGTGTCACTCTAATTCGGGTCCGTCACACCGACTACTCACGCCGCCGAAGTGATGCAACAACAATGCGGTTTTTGCGCCGCGGTGTCCGACCTTTTCCGGAGGATCATGTGCTTTAATGGCAGTAGGAGGGGCAGTGACCAGTCGTACTATCACGAACTGGACAACGATGACCCTCAGATCGCACTAGTGAGTGGACCTATTGGTTTAACGTGTTAAGTTTTCTTTCTCAGACCTCCGCACCACCCGTTAATATTATTATTATAACTGTTTTCGTTTTTCCACATTACCGGAAGTCGTTCACTGCAATCGACCTGCCGCGTGTATACGCATTATTTTTTATTCTCGTCAAGTACCTATATGGCTACATGTATATAATATTTTACTATATTATTATAGCCATATAGGTACATATTATGCGTGTGGTGTGTATTTGAGAGCACGCGATAATTATAAGAATGGGTAATAATAACATATTATATTGTATACCAAACCTGCAGATAATTATTGCACGTGCATGCTATCGAAAACCATGTTTGTATACACAAACATAACTGCTAAAAAAATGTAAAAAAAAAAAAAAACACTTAAACGTTGGTAGGCACATTCGCCTGCACATAATATGCGTCGCTCGTGCTGAAACGAATATATATAATATAACAATATACGGTTCGAACGTCGTGTCATATAACCTCGTTTTTATTTATTTTTTTCAATATTATAATACGTGCCTTGTTGCAGCACAACATACGCGTAAGGTTTTAAAAGTATATTTGAGTTTATCGTTTTTTATATTATGTTGCACCGCCGGTTGTGTGTGTACATATATATATATAATATACAGTCTTCGAGAGAAACCGTTAAAGTTTACTGTTATCGGGTAGTGCCATTCATGAAACTTCGGGGTAGACGCGTTATCGGCGGGGTAATTGTGTTGTACTACTATAATAATATACTCCTGCTATTGCTAGTATTGTCGGTCAGTTTTTTATTTCTATTATTATTATATTTTTTTTGTATCGTTACGCGTTCTTAACGGACTTCGAGAAAACAACATTGTGCAGTACTACTTGTGTGAGTCCGCCGCGGTAAAGGTCAATATATTTTTACAATGCTCGTCTTTTCGGACGGTCGGCCAAATGCATGCACATAGGTGTAATGCAATAAAATATATATATAATATATATGTAACGTATTTCGTGTACTCATTTTAAAATAAATAATAATATATTTTACAATATTATAATATATTGCTGGGTTCGAGATAACATGATTTTCGTATTGTAGCCCCGCAACGGTGCACACGTTTATTTTTATTATTTTTATGATTGTCGACGAGGTACAACGACCTCGGTGTCGCGAGCCGATTGTTCCGAGACTTAAGGTATTATTTCGTTTATTCGTATGTTACACGTAGTTTCGAGGTTTTACAATAATATTATTACGTACCTACCTATATAGGGATGCAAAAAACTGTTGCGAATCCCAGTTTTTTGCCACTAAAGCGTGTTGTTGTTTTGTCGGAATCGTGCCCGCGCAGCCAGAAGTAATTATCGTTTTGACAGATGAACACAATAGTCGTATATTATTTGTTTTGTATGAGATAATCAAAAAAAAAAAAACAAAAATCGTATCATCCAGTAAACACGTTTAATGTGTGGAAAATTAGACTTTTCCGTATATCTCATCAAACACATACCTATGCGCTTTTGTTCTGTAATAGAATAGTATACCACTTATATATATTTTTATATTCGTTCTTCGTATATACATGCTTCTTCTGCCGTACGTGTGTCGTCGCCGTCGTCTCGCACGCCACCAACGTTGTTTAATGTGCTGACATTGCTAGATAAATTACAATTGTTATAGTTCCGTCCTATAATACAATGATATCGATGACTATATCAGTAATATCAGCGTCAACAATTCGTAAATGTCCACTTTGTCCCGAAAGTGATTCGTACAGGCAAGGCCGGATTAAGGGGGGAGGGGGTCCAGCCGAAGTGGAAGCCCCGGTGCCCTCTCAAGTATCAACATGAAAGGGGCCCAAACAATTTTAAGCTGATTCACATTTTTTAGTAATTTTAAAGAAAAGTTTTTCTATATTTTAAAAACCATTTTTTTTATCGGCAAAAACAACTAAATAGTATAAATACTTACTAAAGCACTATGTGGTAGAAAAAACGCATTTTACTGTTATTTAATATTTTCATTGATATCAAATAATATCACCAATAGTTAATAATGTTATTTATGTACGGAGACAGTTTTTTCTAAATTAACTAGAGTACAAAATAAGTATATAACCATTAACCACTAACCAGTTAAACTCAAGAAAACTTATAGACATACAAATGATTTTATATTCTAAGAATGATTTGTTAAAATCATTAGACTTAAATGAAGTACTAAGAGAGTTAGATTCAATTAAAGCAAGAAAAAAAATTTATTTGATAAAATGGTTTTTGTTTGATATTTGTTGTAAATGAGTAGGTATATACTGTTAATAAATTAATATAATAAGTTATTATGAAAATTTGAATTTAAATTAATGAAATATTGCATTGCATGGTTGGAGGGACATATAGTCCTTTTCCAGAGTTTCGGGGGGTTTAGCCCCATGACTCTGAGTAGAAGGTGGAAGGGTTGAGATGGTTTCTATGTGCGCCTGGTCAGTTCACCGGGTCTTTTTCTGTTGAGTTCAAGAATGAAATAAGAAGTATTAACTTTTACTATACCACAGTAAAATGAGTAGCTTTATAGACATAAACTACATTCACCTATCAATTTTATAATTGTATAACGCAATTGTCAATTTGTGAAATAGTTAGAAGTACCTATGTTCCTGCGAGCGTAGCGATCGGCTTTGTAAATCATGTTTTGTCAAAAGGGCTCATATGAAATTTTAGCCCCGGGGCCCAATAGATCTTAGTCCGGCCTTGCGTGCAGGTCCAATATGCTGCGCAAATTAATAATCCGAACAAGCCAGTCAAATTGGCGTAGCATTTGGACAACGTGTCATCTCATTAATTGAAGCTCAAAGCGCGTGGCACCTATGTAGTATGTATGGGTTAGAAAATTAATAGGGTTGTTTACGTACTTCGTGGACCTTTGGCTAACTCAATAAATGGGACGCGTAGACGGTAATTAGATACGTTTTCAAAGTACATCGTTAAACTAATTATGCAATGAAATACTCCCCTCCCCTGGAAAAATATTATGATGTGGTGTGTTGTGTGTGTATCATTAATCATTACCTATATTATTATATAGTACACTATTATATTATTGGTATTATTACGTTATATTGTAGGTTATAAAGTACCTACCCTATACTATTGTTTCTCTATTCAGTGCGATCGAGCTCGTGTACGGAAACGAGTGAACCCATCGGCTGCTGGCGTGAGGCCGCACTATATAAAAATCATCCCATTCTCTACCAAGCTCATATTAATATCATAATATGGCGCCTAAAATGATAATATTAACAAAACTGGCGAGTTCCTATTAGATTTATATAACTGGAAAAAAAGGCCTGAATGTTGTATATTATATCCATGTACCTATATATATATATAATATACTTATAGCGACTATATTACGGTCATCGTGACTATTTATTTTTCCGTTTTCCTACCTAGGCTCCATTATCATTGTACGCTGTATACACTCGTTTACTAGCTGCAGTAATTTAATCTCGAATATTGCCCCGGAAGTTGCGTATCGCGCACGTCATAACAACAATAATAATATTGTATACACCATTTGATAAACGACGATTTAAGTCGGCCAGATTTTTCCACCCTCACTATCTCGGAGTATATTATACATCCTTAATCGAATTTCGAAATCTGAGCGAGGACTTAAGCTGATATTAATCGCTTGGCGCCGTTGTACCATCCCGCCCGCCCTTTTCACCACCGGCAAAATCATATCTGCAGGCGCTCTATATAGCCATATTGGCTCAATGAAATACGCGTTGAACACACACACACACACACACACACAAACACACACACACACACACACACACACACACACACACACACACACACACACACACACACACACACACACACACACACACACACACACACACTTGCGTGCGTACGCATACAACGAGTATACTCACGAGAATCCGAGAATTTTTATTCGATATATATATATATTTTATTATTATTATTATTATTTTTTTTTTTTACCACCCGTGTCTCTAATGACGTAGGTCGTTAGTCCGGGAGTTGCTCCGTTAACGATTTCACTTTCACGCTTACAACAACAACTATCGAGGTGTATCGCAACATAACCAGTTCGAACTTTTTATTATTATTATTATTTTATTTTTTTTTAACTCACGTGCCGTGACTACTCTCACAATTTACCGGTTTATCGATATTCGCAATATACCCACTTTTTTTTTTTATATACTTAATGCATGCGGGTTTGTGTATGAGTGTGTGCAGCGAGTATATACAAGGGTCAAATATATTATATTATAATTTATTGTACATATATATACTCGAAACACCTGCGAATGCACGTCACTGTATATGAGAACATCACAGTGTAGAATTCAGGTGACGGTATAAGGTTATAGTGTATACGTGCAGTCGTTCAGTCGTCGCAGGCATAAAGCGCGTGTCGCGCGTGCATCGTGAGTTTTTACTACCTATCTACCGCTACCTAGGTATACTTATGTTATATTATATTATGTACCGTTGTTGAAGTGATGCTGTACGCGTAACGTGTAATATATACTCCTGATGTTCCGAGAGTTTTATTTCATCCCTCGATATATAGTGACCATTTTCGTTGTTGGCGATACATCGTTATTGGATAGGATATCGACGGTTCACGATGACAAAACTCTATAGTACAGATCTGGTAAAAAAAAATTGTCAACCGCATATCATACATTAATAATTTATAATATTTATATACAAGCAATATTGTTGTACCTATATAATATACTAATATATAATACTATAATATTATGTAACGTTTATCATATCATTATAATAACTAAATCAGTGGCGTCCGCAGGGGGGGCTAACGGCTGACCCCCCCATTGCCCGTATTACTATTACTTAAAAAAAATATGTTTATCAAGTTTCAACTGTCAACTATAGTAAGCAAGAAGTCAATTTCATACATGTCTTACCAGAATGAATTTATTTTTGAAAAAACAT